TTCGTTTTAGAGGGCCTGGTACAAGGTGAAACTGAACTTTTCAAAGAATGTGGAATACTTGGGCCTTCCCAAACATCGATCAGTTAAGACGAGGCTCCCTAAAGTCTTCTCCACAAAGATGGGATGACAGAAATAAATTTTTCTCTTTCCATTCCCTCAAATATATTCCCCCAGAATGGGAAAAGCAACTCACCAAAAGATTTGTGCAACTTTGACATCAGGATCTGCCTAGGCACAAGAAATTCTAAGCTATCCATCTAGAGCAAGTGTGGAATCCTTTGCACTAGTCCTGTAAGAGCTTTCACACATTAAAGGGAAAAAACCCCAAAGGTCTCATCTATGCTGTGGGAGATCACTGGATTCATTAAATTTGGAGTAGGTCAATTGCTTGGAACTCTATGAAATAACTATGCAAAAATACATCCGAAGCATCTAAACTTTCTGGATTTACTAAGCAGACAAATGTATTGTCAAAAATATTTTGATTGCAAGACTGTTTTAACTACACACTATTTCTTTTGGACAGCTAAAATCTAATTACAATTTAGCAAGCCTGTTTTGCATTAATTCTCATATCACATTTCTCTAGAAACATTGATTTCAATTGAATCTAACCTGTTCTGCTGAGGCAACGCTTGTACCAACAGAACCTGTCTGTCCTTGAGGTAGTTCCATGTTCAGATCAAGACTAATAGGAGAAAACAAAATGAAAAAAAAACCAAGTCAGGCATACACAGCTAAAGGAAGCAGCACAATAATTGACAAGCAGAGCAATACTGAAATAGCATGAGGCCACCAGCATCCCATGAACGCTGTACTCCAGCTAATTAGACAACTTGATCAGTAAATCTGACTCATTACCAAGAAGACAAGTCATATATTATAACTAACAATAGCTAAACAAATTCTGCTTAGTCGGGACTGAGCAAGACTTTTTAACAGAGGTATATCAGACGTGGCATACATATGAATGACAAAAAGTTCACTCAAAAAAAGTTTTACTAAAAAATTTGTCAAAAATATTTATCCTCAAGCCAACAGAGTGACACTTCCAACTCAGGCATCACTGCGAAGGCAGTAAAATTCTCTGAAATATTTCCGTATACCCCAAAGGCTTAAATATGTCATGATGACCTGTTTTGCAATGTCTAGCTTGTGGGAGCAGAACTACAGGAAGTTTTAATGTGGTAAGAGGGGAAGAAAAAGGAAAATCGGAGAAGCACGGCAAGGATTGCTAATGCTAAAGCCAATCCAAGTAAATAATAAAATGCTACCCTGACATGACACATGATTTTAGGCTTTTGCACAACCACCCCTGCATCCTGACATTCACAGTAGCTTTGAGTGAAAACAGAATGAAATACTGGCAACGAAACTATTATGAGAATGATGCCCAGAGGTGAAAGGAAAACGGTGATTCTTCTCTGCTTCCAAGTGACAAACACATATAAAACACATAAAACAAGGGTATCTGGCCTTCGAGTTAACCAGGTTGCTGGAACCAAGATTTATTCAAGAAATAGTCACTCAAAAGTTTACCTACCCTGCTTCATCTGCCATTTCCTGCAAAAGCATATCCACTTGGTTCTAGGGTAAAGAAAACAAAATTGATTGCTGCATATTGTAGTTTATGACAAGCTCTTGTATTAAGTCTTGAGAAAACAGAAATTATTCTAACAAAACTGATTTAAAGGTAAATGTCTTTCACAGAACATTTTTGTGCTTAACCACCAGAGGGCCCTGTATGAACTCAAAAATGATGAGTAGAGGTGCTCAGCCTGTTAAACTGCCATTAATTGAACTCTAGCTTCTGAAATAATGCTTCTAAAGAATTAAACTTATCTGTAAAAAACCAAACACGCACTTGAATATTTTAAGCGTTATCAACTGCCGATTATTAGCTACTAAAACACTGCTTTGCACACCATGGAAAAAAGCCCATCTCCAACAGATTTGCTTTATTGGATTTGGGGTTAGGTTTGTTTATTTTATTTACAAAGCACTATCTCCACTAAATTTCTCCCTGAGAAAACTTCTGTTGGAATAGCACATTTAGCCCCCGGTGGAATAGCACAAGGGGATAGGTGCTAGGAATTCTTAACTACGTAAAGCACCATTTAAGAATTTATTTTAGTAAACACATGTCCATAAATTGAAAGTAGGTAATTACAACCTTTCCATTGCACATACTACTACCAATTTGGTGGTGACTAATGTCATTGTTAATATCAGTGAATTAGAACTATTGATTTTCTTACAGTATATTCTGCTTTGATAATGAACGCTGCAGTGTCTTCTCGTTCAGAAGTTCATTAAGAACTCATCAAAATGCTGCTTATTCAGTAGGAGGGTTAGAATTTAAGATATAATATGAAATAAAGCCTGCTATGTAACAGTGAAATAGACAAAAATACATATATGTGATCCTCTGTACTTGTGACTATAATTCGAGATAGTCTCTTCATCACAAAGAAGCAGAAAGCAAAAGTGAAAAGGCTCCAGTGGCTGCTATGTCTCAAAGTAGGCAGAAAGAAGAGAATCAGACATCTCCACACAGTTTAGACACATAATTTAAGATCACCTTTTTAAAAAAAAATTACTATTCTTACTTGTGGCGTTGTTAGTGTAGTAGTATTGCTCATTGTGTCTTCCATCTGTTGTGTCTGAACATCTAGTGTTTCAAACTGATGTTCAAATTTATCCATTAGTGCAGATATCTATTAAAAACATGAATCAAATCAATGACCTGCAGATAACGCAAGAGATATATATCTGAACTGACAAAAATAGAATCGCACTGGAACGAAGGCTGCAAGCAGCTTCTGGATCACCTTTTTATGTCCCCCTCCCAGCATGTCCCCCTCCCAGCATCAGCTCTGAAGTTGGTCTAACACTGCAGTTCAAGCAGGTTGGTCAGGACCCTGCCCAGTCAAGTTTTGAGCACCTCCATTTATGAGGACTTCACAACCACACTGGGCAACCCGTTCCAGGATCTACCAACCTCACTGCAAAACCTTTTCTCTTGATTGGAATCTCCCTTTTTAAAACGTGTGACCATTGCCCTTTCTGCTTTTGTTGTGCACCTCCAAGAAAAGTAAGTCTATTTACCTTTTCCAAGTTCATGCTCTTCAGCGTGGCATCCATAGACTTAACTACCCCTGCCATCGACTTCGTTACCTGAAATGCGGTAAAGGAAATTATTACAAAGAAAGAAAAATGAGCAGTTTCTTACCAAGCTCTCTTACCTCTATCCACAGAGCTTCTACAGTATCAAATAGCAGGGCACAGACTATTGCCATCCTAGAAAGTCACTTTTTTTTTTATAGCTCCCACCATTTCAAATCCTATAAATTGACTCAACCACTTGAAATATGCATTCTGAGCTGAAATCCACTAAAAACTGAGGTGTATATGGCATTAACTTTTGTGAGTCTCGAGACCTGTCAAATGTTAAGGGATATATTTGGTATACAGATCACATGGCAGAATAAACTCTCTGGCTGAAAAGCAGTACAGCAGAGCTAAAAAAGACTTCTGGAGTCACACATCCTACACCATGGCTTCATGTATTTGGAAATGGAGCAGTATCTTTGCAAAATAATCTTAACAGCGTAACCAGCAAAACACACTGCATCCTTCAGAGCATGAACAGTAACAGCTAATAGAAGTTATCAGCTACAAAACAATAGTGGATAGCAATCTATTTCTAAAGAGCAGCTGCCAGGGGGATTCCAGTACTTGATTTACTATTGGCTACATCTGAAACCAAACCTGAACCTTTTCAGCTCATTAGAGATAGAATTAAGTCACTTCTAAGAAGATCAGAGGTCTCATCCTTGCAATAGATTTGTGAAAACAGACTTACCTTGCCCATTGTCACTGCAGTCTGAACTCTTGCCGCTACAGCATCTACCCTGGCACTCATGCGCAAGAAATTGATGGCTTGATTCTTCTGGCGGATTGCATTTTCCGCATGTATTCGTGCGACTTCCATGTTACCCTTCTGAATTGCCTGTTGAGAAAAAAGAAAAAAGGAAAAAGCATTTTAACCTTCCCTCCTCTTGTAAACATGATTTCTGAATAGCCCATTTCATTTTTGGAATAAGCATCAATTCATCACAATATCTTTTCTATTAAAAGAGAAAATAAAACCCTCCCTCCTCCCCTCAAACTTTTTCAAGATGTGAACCCCTAACTTCTTTCCAAGGAAAGTATCTAGCATGCACTTCAAGTAGGAGGGTTTACAGAGCTACAGAAACATAATTTTCTCATTTCTAAAAACATTTTCAGTATCAAAACCCAAACACAGATACAGCTGGTACAGTTGTATTCAATGGACAAAAATACAGTCAAATAAATTTAGTCTCTTTCTTTACTACTTCAAGAACTCAAAAACTATTTTAAAGTTCCTCTTCATAAGCCCTTTTAATACAAGATGATAAACATTAAGATTAAATATTTTAACTTTGACAACAACAGTCTCTAATAAAACACACACAAGACAGTTTTCTCAGGAGGCAAATGCCACAAGCTGTACAAGAGGATACACAACAACATATCCTCACATTTATTAATAAGTATGGGAAGATTTATAGTCATATATTTTAAATCACAAGTGTCTATCAATGTTATTAGCGCGCATACCAGGAAAATGGTAAAACCACCAGGTATTTTCCTGCTATAATACATAAACAACAGATCTAAAGAGCTTGTTTCAGACCCACTGCTTACCTTCTTAATTTTAGCTTTCTCAGCCTTTTCTTCTTTGTCGCATTTTTTTGAGTTCCTGTTGAGTTCCTTTGCAGCAAACTTCAAATTAAACAGGTGTTCTGCAGTGCAAGTTAAGGGTTCAAGAACAGGACCAATCCTTTCATCGTAGTACTTTGCTCTCCTGTTTGAACTGCTACCAGACCTAGCGTATACTGTGTTTCTCCATTAGTGATATTAAAACTTGGAAAATGTTACTTCAGTAAGCCCTTGAAATTCACACAATAAGGAGACCTACCAAGCTGCTTTACAGTTATAACACCACTTATCATCTGGGTTCCAAAACGTAAGGCCGTAAAAAGTAAGTTCAGATCCCAAACTGGCTCCATTTAACATCAAACCTACTTCAGACTGATAAATACAACAAACCAAACCTCCCCCAAGAGGAACTGACAGCCTTACTCTGCCAGCATCTTTCACTCACACGCCCAGAGTCCTTGACTCTCAGCAAAATGGAAGTGTGGTTTACCGGCCTGCCTGGAACCTCCCTATCCCAAAAAACAAAGTCACAGAGGAACAACAGACAAATTAACAGTGTCATAGCAAACTGGCTTGGCTGACCATGCCCAGGTCCAAACCAGGAGGCAGAGCTGCCCTTTCAAGGCACAGCATGATCTCGGGTTTAAACTGCTCATGCAGCTCCTTTACAGAGCAGCCTCCCAGCCCTGGGTCACGTGAGCGATTCTGGGGTCCCCGACAGCTCTGTCATCGGACTTTTGGGGAAAGAATACTTAAGAGTCAGCAAGAGAAACTCTTCTTTCTAAAAAGCTCAAGTCCTGCTTAAGCTGAAAGCTCTAAGAATACAGTAGAACAAGCCTTCATAGCGACTTAGAATGACTGCATTAAACTGTTACTGACAGAGTAAAGTGTGTGCTGTAAAAATAACAATTAAACCCCCACACTCTTAAAATACTGCTGATGAAAGCTTCCAAACAGCATCAGTCTTTCTCAAACAAAATGGAAGTACAAAGCTTTATAGGCTTCTTTCATGCCACCTTTTGCTATCCCAGGAGGAAGATGCAGCAAGTACTAAGATGCTTCACAGTTAAGTGGAAGCACGTAAAGCCAAACGTTATGAGGTACTTGAGGTTTCTTTAATATTTCAAGTAGATAAATTATTCCAGAACTGTTTTTTTCCTTTGAAGTCCAGCCATGCATCGTAGAGCTCTGACAGCAACCTGAAGACATTAGGAAGTCTGTTGATATATGTTATCTTATCCTATAAACATCACAAGCAGGCTGCAAAAAGGTAACAGCTGTGCCTAAACATCTAGGATGTCTCTTAAGGTAGCTACCAGTAACACTAAAATTGCTGCTTGCATTTATGTTTCTTTGCTTTAAAACCTAGGTCACCATCCCTTTCAGCAGCAATAAGTGCATTGCACTGAGCCACAGGACAAATAGGAAAACCGAACAGGAAAACACCTTTAGGTTGTTCATTCAAGTATACTTCAGGTCAGAGACCAGAACCACCAGGGAAAACATGACATCACCCATTTACACCAACTACACCAAAACAGCATTTCAGAGCAGTTTGTTTTGAATTAACTTCCTCCGTTACTTGGGGCATTTACCTTTGACACTGAAAGAGCTCGCCCTGCCACCTCCACAGCTCGTCCATCCCATGACGAGCACATACTCGCTCCTCCCTTGAAGTGTCTTTCTCGACGTGCCATAACTCAAGTGAAACCAAACTTACACCATTACCCGTGACTCACAGTCACCTGCTCCAGCACTCCCGGCAGCCCCTACCGTAGCAACCGGCAATGCCGAGCACTGCCAGCACATTTCAACCACACCAAGACCTCTGTAATCTTTAAAGCTTTTTTTGCCCCGGCGCGTTAAGGTGGTTTTACACAGCAAGAAAGTTTAAATTTGCCCATAAGGGTTTCACCCGCCTGTAACTTCATTTCAACGGCAGGAAACGCAGCCGGGTTTGTTCAGCTGACAGCGGTCGCTGTTTGGGGGGGACAGCTGGCAAGTTCGCCTTGCCGACACCATTCCGGTCTACACACAGCGCTGGATGTACGGCACGTCAGACGTCCCTGGCGCACAGTTTGCACTACTCTACACGGCAAACCGCGTTTTCTGCCCCAGGGCCTGGGCTGCCCCTGCCCACCGCAGCCCTGGGAGAGGTCCCACTGCCTTCCCTCTCCTCACCCCCCCCAGCTAAGGTTGGCTGATCTTGCCTTGGAAAGGGAAACTGAACTTCCCATTCCCTTCTCCATCCGTGCACGGAGGGCAATCCCCACATTCAGAAAGCACAGCTCCTACCAGTGTCACACAGACCCCCCTCCTCCCGGAAAAGGCCCTCTGAAGCAAGGCCCCGGTCCCCCGCGGGGCCGCCCCGCTCCCCCGGCGACCGCCGCCATGACGGAAGGGACCCGCTTCCTCCTTCCCACCGCACCCCGTCGCCTCTCGGGGGCTCCTCCCCGGGCGGAGAGGCCCCGCAGGCCGCCCCCG